CATTTTATTTTCAGGTTCGTTTTCATCCCGAAACGATTAAATTTCATCCCAATTCAAGTTCAAATTAATTTTATTTTAATTTGCCTTTAATTATTTTTTAAATTTCAAAATTTTATTGAAAATTCCATTTTTTGGTGACCCGAGACTCGGTTGTCTCGTAAAACGTAAAAAATCCAACTATCTTAGAATTTGATAAAATTTGACATGGTAACTAGATTTCGCGAGACGAATCCAACGGTGAGATCCGTTTTGCCATCCGAAATCTAAAAAATTTCAGCTCTCCAACCCGTACTGTAGCAACAAAATTACCGTTTTGTCCTTGTTTACAAAAATTTAAATTTATCGAGTTTTACAAAAGACACCAAACCTTGTTCAAACAATCACACAAATTTCTCTTTTCTTCTCATTACATGAAACAACCACCGGTATATATAGTATTATCTCATCGTCCCTCGAAAGCCTATGAATTGAAACTATTGGATTGATTTACACAGACACATATTAGACGCAATCAATCAGATTTGCAAGTCCATTCACTTGCACCAAACAATGAGCTTTCATTGAAGCCTTTATCTTTTCTCCTACTTTTTAAATTATTTCAATCCCCGACCGTAGATCTCTCAAGCCCTTATCACCTGATCGCAATGTCTGCAATGTCAAGAGCAAATCCAACATTCCTATTGAAGACTATATAACTGAGTTTTTATGAAAAAAGTGTCAGCTCATATTTTTTACCTCATACACTCGTACTGTCACCCCACATAGCTCACAAAAGCTTCATTCATCTGTTGCCTAACATAAACACAAAAAAAAAAAACAAATGCTAATCAAAGTGCAGCAATAAAGAAGAAAGCTCTTAACGAATAAAGAATTTCTACTCACAGAACCAAGGAAATGCATTTTTCTACTCAACCACAACATTTCAATTAAGGTGTGACATTCTTTATTTTTTTCTGCATATATGAAAAAGTAATACATTTTCAGAATATTGTGCTTCTCTTCTCCTTAGTTTTCTCATAAAGCATATAGGGATAACCGTAACCAACCTAACATAGAGTTGCCTACTTATACTCAATCTAACAGATATCAGAAAATCCCTTTTAAAACCTAAATACTAAATTAAAACATGATCAATAAATCTTACCTTGTCAACCCCACCACTACCACTACCACCATTATTTCTTTGTTTAACATCCACTGATATCCTTAAAGATCCTCAAGGCATGTGAAAATAAAAAGTCAAACATAAGAATATAGAGTCTAAAAAAAATTAATTCAAGAACCAATTTTATAGGTTGCTGAGAGGATCCTTTTATTATACCAGTTGAACAAATATTATTCCATAATGAAAACAATACAGTAATCTCCACTATCAAATCGTATCAAACGAAGGAGAACAGAAAAAAAAAAAATTATTGTGCAACCTTCGCAAACCTTGAAGTTGTGAGAATCAATTCACAAAATCAATGATAAATTAAAGAACTTGATTTAAACCATAAGAGTCAGTCACGGAAGGCGAACCAACCAAGTAGTTCAAGATTACTTGGGATATCTTCTTGGTTTGGGATGTCCTAAGTACCAACCTCCATCCAAGGCTAAGTAGCAGATGTAGAGGAGGAATCTTCCTCCTGCAACAAAAAGGTACAAATTGAACTTGTTTAGAAACAAATAGATTAGAGGTAGGCATATAATCAATGGGTTAAACGTGTGGAGTGACATGGATTGAATTCATAGTAGCAAGATATTCATAATAGAAAGCCACCACTTCAGTTTAATTCATAGCACCAACAAATTCAACCCGCCATTTGAACTTTACCAAACTATTTGATAGGCAATGCACACAATAGAAAACCAACACCAACAACATCACCATCCATCAACAGAACCACCGAAACACCTATAAACAAATGAGTGCTTCAGACCATGAAACATCAATTGTACTAAACAAATTAAGTTTTGGACCTAGAAAGGAAAAAAAAAGGAACAAACAACAATACTAAAAAAATAAAGAAAGATGAAGATAAATAGTAGGTTAAGGAAAATAAAAATAAAAAAGAGAAAAAAGTTTGTACTTGCAGGCTTGTAGCAGTTCACCAACTAATGGGAGGGAAAAGTAGAACAAATTGTGTTCTAGAACAAAATCTTCCATTGCGGTAACTTAACAAAACCATTACGGTAACTTGATCTTCTATTCTTACAATTGTTGACTAACTTGAATTGTGTTGTTAAATGGTAAGAGATACAAGACTTTAGAAAGCAATGATATTCTTGTTTGCAACTTTATTTCCATAAAATTGAAAAATTAAAAATGTATACCTTTCATCTACCAAAGAGAGAGGCCGATCAAGCAAAATGCCTAACACAAAGTTCCAAAAGAGACCCATTGCTCCAAATCACAACCAATTGCAACATACCAGCGCTCCACACAATGCCCAGATTTAAAAACAACAAACACTTGCGCATCACATATACAATACAATATACATAAAAATAAAAAATAATAAAAAAGCTACCACATAGACTTGAATATGATCCTAAAATGTTAAACAAAAAAAGTTGGAAGCAAACTAACTGAATGGTAGCCGAAGAGAAAACTTTAGATGTAATCTAAAACAATTCATAAACTCACCATTGGAAAAACATAGTCGAAAGGCAACTACATGCAAGTAAAAGGCCTGCCTATCCAATCACGAACACTTGAAATCTGCCACAATAAAGAAACAAAATAGGTAGAGTATATGAAATTTGCCACAACAAAGAAACAAAATAGCAAATCCACAAAACAAAATTCAGAAATTTGTAACAAAATCAAATCAATAATTTGAAATAAAATCAAAAAATTTGGAAAAGAGAGAAAACTTGATTTCAAGCTAATTCATGCAAGTTACAAAAAACGTAAGTATCGATTACATCCAAGCCTCCATCTTTTGATTTTTGAATAAGGTCAGGCAACATTTGCGCCTAAAGGTACAGCCACATTTGTGGTTACTACAAATAGGTAGACAAACTATATGGCAAATAAATCATTAAAAAGGTATGAAATAAATCTTTAAGAATTTATCTTTTGAATTCCCAAGAAAAATTGACATATTTATCTAGCGAACTCAATATTCAAACATAGATACACATATTTTTTAACCTACACAGTGAACGTACTGACAATAAATTAAGCAAAGAAAGATGAAGCATAAGACACAAATTTTCAATAATAATACAGTACAACTACTCATTATTGACAAACGGACCAACTTGTTTGGACCCAACTCTTTCAATTTCATTTCCAAACCACCCAACAGCACAAACCTCCAAAACTCCTAAAAGTAAACACACCCCATAAAACATCAAGAACCTACGGCACAACCCTCCTCAATTTTAATTTAATTCAATTTTCTCGAATAAATTAAAATTAAATTAAATTTTGAAGTGAAAATAGATTCAAAATTGGTTATATCTTATTATTATAGATTTAGTTATGGTAAAATTGAGGCAAAAAAAAGAATGAGGTTATGCCAAAACAATAAATTGGTTAGAAACAGATTGATAACACGCCACACCAATGGTTGGAGTTAATGTAGAAAAAGCAACCAAACAAAAAAAAAAGATACAAATACGATCTTATCATAAGTTGCTAACCTGCTATTAAAATTCCCAAAATCAATTTGATTCCATACAATTTTAGCCAAATTTTCCTGAGAAATATACAAATCAAAATATAAAAAATAAAACTTACAATTTGTATGCAAAATTCGGCTAAGCCAATGAGATTAAAAAGCAATTGCAATTACGAAGGCCACAGTTTGTAGGTAAAAATAAATGAAGCAAGAACAATTAAAATCCAAAAAATTTGCCAATGGCTTTTTTTCCTTCACTCTGATATTTCGTTGACCACCTAGAATGCAGAAGTGTTGGCTTATGGTAGTCAAGTGCTATTTTTTTCTCTTTGATATTTTGTCAATCACCAAGTATTCAAAAAAAAAAAAAGTCAGGGGTTGCATGGTTTAATAACAAGGGTTATTAGTTTGATGTCTAGGTGTAGGTGTGAGTGTTCTATACGGATGTATACATAATACTTATACACACCTACAATAAAAGACACAAAAATAATCCTCAAGAAACATATAACTCAAATTAACTAAATTAGTAGATCATAAATATTTGTTAAATCCACAGATTCATTCTATTTTAAAAATGTCAAAATTAGATAAGTATAAATGTATAAGGTCTCCAATTTTTCACCCGTTGATCCTTTACTTAAACTAATCCAAGTAGACCCACATTAATCAACTTTAAAACCAACAGATGACATAGGATTTAAATAATCAAGTAGAACCACATTAACAAACTACAAAACCAATACATTTTAATTAGGATTTAAATAGCCTAAAAAATTGTTATAGTATCAAATTTCACTATTTTCAAGCAAATCCACATTAATCTACTTCAAAAGTAATCGATTAACAGTAGAAATCAATATGTATAGACAACATTTGATCAAGATTTTATTTCAATTTCATTAACAAACCCTAACTAAACACTACATGGAAATTAAAAACTTCTAGTGTTTTGAAAATTACCTAGCTATTCTCAAAAAAAATACCTAGCACCATGAGAGTGTCGAGTGGACACAGTTACCGCTTGAATTCAACCACCACCAAAATAACACCAAATAAACCATAAACAAAGAAACTATAATTAAGTTAATTTTTCAGGATCAGAAGATCAACAATATACCTAATGTAATCTACAGGAACACAAAATGTTGATTCGTATTTAGCCCAAAAAAATGTTGGAAATATGAAATATTCTATGTAACTCGAAGAAGAAAAATAAAACCCCTTTAATTAGGATTTTAATAATTCTTTTTTTTTTTGCGTTTTACAGAAAGTATAGAAAAAACACGTATGAAACATTCCATTTTGTTAACTCAAGCTAGCTAAAATAAAAAATAAATGGAAAAACTAATTAGGCCAACAGTGAAAGGCAAGCAACCAACCCGAATGTTAGGCAGGGGCCAACAGAGTGTGAGGGGTTTCGCAAGGAAATAAATCTTTGACCAAGAAACCCATAGATGAACCATGATCAGCATACTGGAACTCGTAGTCACAGAGCTCGTCAGGGGTTTCACAAGGGTGGTTACCAGGCCAATGAAGAGAACCATAGAGGGGATCCTTACATGTGACAATGTTTTTGTTTGACTTGTAAAGAGTGTGAAAGGCCTGCACACACAAACACATAGAGGTTATGGACTATGGGCAGTAGTTTTAGGGTGATTTTGCATGTATGGAAAAAAATAAAGATTTTACAATTACTGGAGTGCATTTGGTACAAGTTACATCACATTGAAGCCAAGTGAGGTCACTGCCAGTGTCCATATCAAGAAAGTAAGGTTTGGATGGGTGGCCTATGTTAAGTGTCACTTGATAGTACCTGCATAAGGAAAGAACATTGAACAACCAACTTTATAACACAGGACACAAAATGGATTCCGCTCAAATACCATGAATTTCGATCATAACTGAAAAGGGAAGGAACAAAAAATGTAAATGGTACTAAACATATTTATTATAGCAGCTAGAGCCCAAGTAGCAATTGACATACTAATGTAGAGTGCCAAAGAAGATGCGGGAAGATGTACAAAAGAGAGCAAATGATGATACATCAAAAGGCAGGATGCATACAGGATGGGCAACTGCCCTCTAAGGTTTGAAAATTCCCTTAAAATTACATTCCATTTGCTAAAGAACTACAATTGTAAATTTTACAGTTGTCCTAATTTTTTTCACTTGACAATAGTTGTCTTTTGGGTTTTCCTCCATATACCTCATTTCCTGATGGATTCTAAGAAATGGGCCACAAGAAAATACTCTTTTTGTACTAAAAGGTAAGAGAACTTCAAAGCACAATTGGATCTCGAAGAAGCTTTTCAAAACATATCCCAAATTCTCCATCCCAAATGCTTATGCACCACACATATTATCTTGTGGGGCCCAAAAAATTAGCTTTTTCATCTAATGTATAGTGCAGAAGCATTTGGAAGATGCTTTGGGAAGCATAGCATTTCTCTTACTAAGCAATAACAAGAAGGAATCAAGGTAATATGTATCCCAAATGCTTCTACATACGAACACAGATCAACTCCCCAAAAAAAACACACACACACATAGAGAAAGAGAGAGAGAGAGGCTCACAAAAACAATAGTTAGAAAAAGGTGTAGGCAAAAGGTGATCAAAGAATTAGAATGTATGGTTTGAGGAAAAAAATAAATATTAAGTAGACCATTTACGCATAAAATTTCAAAAGAAACACAAAAGATCATGAAGATTCCCCAGGAATAGCTAGAAATCAAGGTCACATGAAAAAGGCTAGAAGTCTCACATAAATAAATTTCAAGTAATTGAAGGAAAGTCGACATAATCCAAAAACATACCAAGAATCTTCCTAGTAAACAAATAGAAAATTCCTAAAAACCCAAAATCTCCCAAGAAACCCACAATCGAAGAGAGCACGCAAACCCCATAACCATAGGCTAATCAAACACCAAAACAATACATGTATACAAATATACCCACAGATAAGAGAAAAGTCATCAAGATCACATCTACCAAATCTAAAGAAAACCCACAAATAAAATGACATATACCCTTTGGGATAGATATTCCCAGTGATAGGGAAGACCATAGAGGATCCAAATCGATCCTTGGTGGCCATTGCTTTGGATTGTTTCTTGATCCTCTGAGGCGGATTGGAAGCTGAAGAAAACCAGAGGGTATAATACCACCCAGAATGGTACAGTTAACTTCATCTTTTCACACATGGTGACAGAATATTTTGTGTTGTTTCGTTTTGATCAGAGACAAAAAGGGGTCAAAAAAGGCAAAGGTGCTCTAAGTGGCAAAAAAAAAAAAAGGCCTCTGAAGAAGGCTTGGGGTGGTGGTGGTGTTGCTGACTTCAGCGGTTATGGTGGTGTTGCTGATAAGAAGAAATAGAGGGAAAGAGATAAAGATACAAATAGAGAGTGAGATGGCCTATGAAAGATGCGTCTGACAGAAGGGTTGGGGGGAAAAAATGATGTCCAAGGCGGTGACTAAGGCCATTTTTTCCGTTGTACCAAGGAAAAGAAGTGACTGCTGGCAGATGAAGTGATTGAGACATCAAATTTTTGAATAAATTAGTAGGTGAAAAATGATGCATTTGGGGGGAAATGTGAAGATCTGTGACCGTTGGATGAAAAAATTGTGACCATACGATCGGCTTGTTGAAGCCGCCCTATTTTATATTATAGATTTTAGAGCACATCCTCCAAGTTTCTCTTATGGGGAGGTTGGTAGGTGGGAGGATTGGATGGTCCTTGATGAGAAAAGCTTCGTGGAGGAGGACTTGGTGAAAAATTTTGTGGTGGTAGGTTTGACGAATACCCTTGGGAATTAGTCTGGGGATATTGGGAGCTAGACGTTTGCCCTTGGCCTTGGTATTGACCTTGCTTAGGAGGCACGGGAGGTGTGTATGTATTTAAACCATGAGGAATGGGGTTCTCATTTCTCCAACAAAAATTAGGGTGATTGCTCCAACCTGGATTTTAAGTATTTGAATGTGGAGAAAATGATTGTCTCATTTGGTTAAAGGCATTGACTTGCTCGTGATACACTTCCTTAAGTACTAGAATGTTGGGGCACTCCGATATGGAATGCTCCACACTCTCACAAATTAAGCAAGCCTCCTTGATCAGTGACACATTAGACACCTCGTGTCTCCTATTGACTTCAAGACTCTCAACTTTCCTCGACAATTTAGCAATTTTTGAAAGCAAGTCTTGCCGGTCTCTCAAGTCATATATCCCTCCCCCTTGTGGTTGACTACTACCTGAGGACATCCTAGGTACGTCGTTGGGATCCCTAATGTCCCAAGATTGTGCATTCTGGGCCAATGTACTAAAGTAGTCAAGGGCCTCATTGGGGTCTTTGTTCAAGAACTCGCCACTACACATCATGTCAATGAATTGTCTATGGGTTGATGTGATTCCTTCATAGAAGAAACTTACCAGTTGCCACGATTCAAATCCATGATGTGGTATAGATTGTAGAAACTCCTTGTAACGATCCCAGTATTGATATAATTGCTCATTGGGCTTCTTAGAAAAGTTTTTGAATTTCCTTTTTTAAAGCAGTGGTTCTATGAACCGGAAAAAATTTATTCAAAAATTTAGAAAGCATTTGATCTGAAGAGATAATGGATCAAGGTTGCAAGGCATTCAACCATGATTTGGCTTTATCTCTGAGGGAGAAAGGAAACAATTTCAATCGAGCTATGTCTTCCATAGCATAGTTAGCATTGAAGGTTGCAACTATATCCTCAAACTCCTTTATGTAAATGTAGGGGTTTTCCTTTTCAATTCCATAGAATGTAGGAAGTAGTTGCCACATCCCCGGCTTAACTTGGAAGAGTTGAGCTTGGACCAGTAAGAGGATGCATGAGGGTGTGGTGCTACTAGTTGGTTGAAGAAAATCCCTCATAGACCTCGCCAAAGGATCCATTTGGATGTTATTCCCTTCATTCACGGGAGGGGGAAATTGCATTCGTGGATTAGGTATTCTAGGTTCGGGCACTCCCCCATCCCTTTGAATGTTTGGATTGGCACCAACATTATCAAAATTATTACCCGCATCCTTGAGTGGGTCTTGGTCAATATTCATGTTGGGGCCTAAGGGTTGTCTAACCAATCGATTTTATTCGTCTCGTCTCCGCATGCAACAAACTATCAACAAATGAAATTATACACAAACAAGAATATGAACACGGAACAACGTACCTCAACCTATGATGAAGATCATGAAACTTACCTCCGTTGTTCTGAAATCACCTTCTCGATTCGACACTTTGCCTTCCCCGGCTTTGGTAAAGCTCTAGAAAAGTGGAAGAGTTTCACTCCTCTAAGGGAAGAAGGAAGCTCAAAACAATGGAAATAAATGAAATAAATAAATTAAAAGAAAGCAATAATACAATAAAAGGAAGCAATAAATTAAAAGAAAGCAATAATACAATAAAAGAAAGCAATAATAATTTTTGGAGGGTTATCCACTACCAAAAGGTGCTCTTTTTAAGAAAGCAATGATACAAGAAAGCCATAATGACTTTTGGAGGGTTTTTCACTACCAAAAGATGCTCTTTACAAAAAAGATGATACAAGAAAGCAATAATAACTTTTGGAGAATTTTTCACTACCAAAAGATGTTCTTTACAAGAAGGATGATACAAGGAAAAAAAGATCATCTTTATAAGACCCAAGGGGTGCTATTTATAGGCAAAAAGGGAGAGCTTGAATTACACTTTGATCCCCCTCCATTTTGAGCTTTTGATAATTGGCACCTTATAGTTTGTAGCTTTAATAATTGGCATCCTATAGTTTGTAACTTTGATAATTGCCTCTTCAGTAGTTTATAGCTTTGACGCAATTGGCTCCCCAATAGTTGGTAGCTTTGACGCACAAAATCCTGAAAAAAACAACAATCAATGCATTATCACTAATTCACACACTAACCGTAATTTGGCTTATTTTGACTAATTTAACTTTATTTAACTAACACAATTGACCTATTAACTTAATTAAACTATGCCTTAAATAGAGTTAATCAAGGGCTCGGGTTACATTGGATGTGTGAGTATCATCTCATGACATGACAAGACATTTGTGAAATCCATTTATGAAATGTATATTCTTGAATGGATGTTTGATTGATTGTTGAATGATATGTGAATATTCATATGAATTTGGGTTAGGGAGTAGTCTTTTTAGGAAATACCCTATTGAGCGTGGATCACACTTTATGGGAACAATATTTCAGGTATGGGACAAACACCAGTGGACAGCCCTCACATGGACCCTTGTTAACGAAGAAGTCAGTATGTGGCTTTTAACTTACATTTTGTAAATAAATTGTGTAATTGTTTTGAGCTTCTAAAATTGTGTTTCGTAACGAACTCTCATGGACTATAATTTGTGATAATGAATGAATGAATTAGTGTGGAATAAGTTTGGATGGTCAAGGTTTGAAGATTGGAAAGATTTGGTGAAAATCTAGGTCTTGGTACTAGTACATAAGTGATTAAGTACCGATACCACACTATTAGATGGCCCAAGTACTGGTACTTCGACTTACGGGTACAAGTACCTAGATTCCAGTGGGCTCAGGTACCGATACCAAGGCTTCAGGTACCGGTACCTTGATGGATAGCGGGCTCAGGTACCAATACCATGACATATAACTAGTACCTAACAAACAGTGGACTTAGGTACCGGTACCTAAGTGATTAAGTACTAGTACCTGATAAATGGGAGGGATCTGGCAGATAGAAGATGCAGGTATCGGTACCATGTGTAAGAGGTACCAGTACCTCTTCTAAAATTTTAAAAAAATTAAATATAACTTCACCAAGCCTCAAATCTCGAGCCCTCTTGTTTGGTTGATATAATTGGTCAAACATAATGTCCTAATTGATGGGGATGGACCTTGGAATGGTCAAGTGATTGGTATGTGTACATTTTTAGCGATTTAGGAGTGCTCCGGTACAAGGGAGACTCTGCCCAAACTCTGTATTGGTATAATCCCGGTGAAGGGGATGTGATGTCATGGTATTGGGTTATACATCATTCATGGGTGCTTTCACGGGTTGATGGGTGATCAACAGGTTGAGAAATGACTCTCGAATTATGGGGCGTTATAATCATGATGTAACTGCATTAAAGGAAGTTGTTTCAGGGAGTTAAATCATGGCAGCTGGATTCTTACAATGTTTTTGTTTTAGAAAAATAGTTCAAAGAAGCCAAGTGGATCTTAAGGTACTTGAGAAGTATAACAAACCATGGTATTGTGTTTGCCAGACAGTTGGATTGTATTTCAATTGTAGGGTATTTAGATGATAGTTGTGCTAGGAATTTGGATGACAGAAGGTGTAGTATAAGGTATGTGTATAAACTTGTAGGAGGACAAATATGATGGAAATCCATGTTACAATCAGTAATAGCTATATCTACAATTGAGGCAGAACACATGTCAATGATTGAGGTTGCCAAGAAAGCTTTGTGGGTGAAAGAGTTGGTAAAAGAGCTTGGGTTTGAGCAAGGTAAAATTCGGTTGCATTGTGATTATTAGAGTGCAAAGCATTAGGTCTATCATGCTAGGGAAAATCACATTGATGTGAGGTTTCACAAGATGAGAGAGTCAATTACTACTGGGGAGATGATGCTTGAAAAGGTGCATACTCTTGGTAATGCAACTGCTGTGTTGACAAGACCAATTTCTTCAGACAAGTTCAAGCTTTGCTTGGACTTGGTTAATTAATATTTCTCAATGTTGAGAAAAGTGGCATCCTCGACATATGTGTTCACGATGTAGATATGTTACGGTATTTTTTCAGAGTGGTGAACTATACGCCAAGATGGAGATTATTGAGAATAATGAGCAACTCATATTCACTAGGCCCATGTAACTTTAATGTGAATACTGTCTATTTAGTTTTGCTTGTAGATAAGGATGTGTTTCTTATCAAAAGTCAATGGAGTAGTTCAGTGGTACTACTGTTTGGTTGTTGGGGTCGAATAATGTAGGTTAAGGGATGCATGGAATGCCTAGCAGTAGGGAATGAGTACATGGAATTGAATGTTTTCAATGTACATCTAGTATAGTAGTTTTACTAGGATTGGGTAAGGTAAA